GTGCATGGCCTTCTCATTGTGGTGGCTTCTCTTGCTGCGGAGCATGGGCTCTAGGCACGCAGGCTTCAGTAGCTGTGGCTCGCGGGCTCTAGAGCGCAGGCTCAGTAGTTGTGGTGCACAGGCTTAGTTGCTCCACGGCATGTGGGATCTTCCCAGACCAGGGCTCGAACCTGTGTCTCCCGCATTGGCAGGCAGATTCTCAACCACTGCGCCACCAGGGAAGCACTATATTTCGTTTTTTAAGGAACCTCTGTACTATTCCCCATAATGGTTGTACAAATTTACAGTGTAGGAGGGTTGGGATTGGCTTTTTATGGTAGAAAACTTCGCAGCAGCAAGAGCTGTCAAACACTAGGATGGTTTATCAGTGGCAGCTTTAGAAAATCTTTTCCTGGAGATTTTCTTTCTTTCTTTGTTTCTTTCTTTGCCTTTCTTCCTTTCTTTCTTTCCTCCTTCCTTTCTTTCTTTCTTTTTCTTTCCTTCCTTCATTCCTTCCTCCCTCCCTCCCTCCTTTCCTTCCTTCCTTTTTTTTTTTGGTCATACCGCACAGTGGCTTACAGGATCCTAGCTCCCCGACTAGGGACCAAACCGAAACCCTCAGCACTGAAAGCACAGAGTCCCAACCACTGAACCACCAGGGAATTTCCCCCTGGAGATTTTCATGCCTGAAATAGACTCACCATTTGTCCATGATTTCCTGTGGTGTCTCTTAAAACCATGGGAATGTACTATTCGAGCTCCCAAGTTCTATGTTGTTTGGTTCAACTCAACAAATATTTGCGTGTCGACTTGTTAGTGACCCTGGGCATCGCAATGATGAATTCATGCCACCTCTCCTTGCCCTCAACATGCCTCTCTTCCTGGGATCCCCATCTCAACATATGACACTTCCATCCACATGGTTGCCCAAATCAGAAACCTATGAATGAACTTTGATTCCTAGTCTCTCTCACCACTCACTTTCAATTAGTCCCTGATCTCTATCCTTCTACCTATCATTGGAATTTGTCCACTTCTTTCCAATCCCCCATCTTGACTGCAGTCACAAGCATCTCTCACGTGGATTACTGCAGTAGTCTAAATGCTCTCCCTGCCCCCAAGCTCGGCCTTCCCTAATCCATCCCATACACATGGTCTTTCTGAAATGTCAGTCTGGAGGCATTTCGCTCTCCTACTTAACGTCTTTTAGTGGGCTTTCAGGCTTCTGAGAGAGGCAGGAGGTGGCACTTCGAGGAGCACTGCTTAGACCTCCCTGTGTGCTTGAATTCCATCTCTGCCACTCACCTAGTTGCTTGACCTTCAGTAAGTTACTTAAGCACTCCCTGCAGTTTTCTCATCTGTAAAAAGGGGGTCATAGCAATGATTCATTTTAGGGTAGTTGGGGGGATGAAATGAACCTGGGTCTTCCCCTCTGCTATGAACCCTTAACTTTGGAGTCCCCCGACTCTGGGCCTCTCCTCTCTCTGTGCTCACTCTCTTAGTCATCTCAACTTGTCCCATGACTAAATATCCATATATACTGATAACTCCAAACTTATGTCTCTCTAGTTCAGACCTCTCTCCCAGACCCTAAACTCATATATCTGGCTGCCTTCCCAACATCTCCACTTGGATGGCTACTAGAGGTGCAGTGTTTTATAACAATTAACAATTATTACATGCAAACTATTGTATACAGAATGGGTAAACAATAAGTTCCTACTGTACAGCACAGGGAACTATATTCAATATTCTGTGCTAAACTGTAATGGAAAAGAATATGAAAAATAATGTCTACATGTGTATAACTGAATCACTTTGCAGTACAGTGGAAATTAAGACAGCATTGTAAGTCAACTATACTTCAATAAAATAAATTTAAAAAAACAACAACAATTATTACAAAGCTCACCACCACCTGGCTCCTACTTACCCCCCCAATCTCATTTTAGGAAAAAGAAAAAAAAGAAAAAAGTCTTCATTCTTTCTCCTGTTCTAGCTCAGCTATAGTTTCCTCTCTCGTCTCTAGAGCTTTCCATGTGTACTCTTCTCTGTCCTTCCCCCAGTGGAATCTGTATTCCTCTTTCAGGTTTCAGTTTAGATGGACTTCCCTGACTCTAAGTCTGCCCCTTCCACCAGCAACGCCCCGCCCCCCCATGTGCTCCTTGCTCATCACACCGTTTTGTAATTGCTTCTCATTGGTCTTCTCAGCCAGGCTCTCTGACAAGAGACTTGGCCTATGATGTTGGTCATTGCAGTATGCCCGGCACAGGGCTTCATACACAGGAAGCTCTCAGCAAAGGTTAATTCAGTGAACGAGTGAGAAATGCCCGCAGCAGTGATAGCATCTCTGCACCTTAGACACACATTGCTTAGTAACCGTGTGTAATTGTATCTTGTGCTGCTTCTTAGGCAGTAACAATCGCTGACACTTTTCTAACTCAATCCTCACAACTTTCCGAAGTAGGTACTATTAGTGTACTTATTTGAAAGTAAGGAAATTGACATTTAGGGAAGTTAAGATACTTTCTCAGTGACACAGCTGGTAAAGTGTTGGAGCAGGATTCAAACCCGGGGGTCTGGCACCAGAGCCCCTAACCCTACAGGAGGATGCCTCATGACTCAGCCATTCTGATTTGGGGTTGTCTCTCGGACTTCGTTCAAAATTAGCCAACTATCTGCCCTTAGCAAGTATGGCAAAGAACAATCCATGCCACCTTCAGTAAACACGTATCATGGTCCTGCGTCAGGAGGAGCTGCCGCTCCAAGTGCAAACCACAGCACAGGCAGGGAGACGCGCTCCTTGTCTGGGGCATCGTTACCATCATCAACACAGCTTACCATTTTATTGAACATATTCAATGTCCAGGCACCGCGGCAAACCCCTTCCACACCCCATCCCACTTAACAACTAGGTTTAACCTTGTCTTTTGACTTCTACTGCATGCTTTTCTGGATCACAGTGGCTTGACTCAAAATAGTCATCAGAGCTCCACTGCAATTTGGAGAGAGACCTGCCCAACCCCCTCATTTTCAGATCTGGGAACTGAGACTCTGAAAGGTTTAAGTGCCTTGCCCAAGGTCGAGCAGGTGGTGGTCCAGCTGGGGCTGAAAGAGGCCTCCTGAATCCAGGTTCAGAGCTCTTGACAGGACGCCGTTACAGCCAATCACCTTTACTCAATGCACGTAAATGAAAAGGCATCACGTCCCTTTTTAAATGCACTTATTTAATGGAGAGTAGTTATTACTGCTCAGGATTTATTATCCATGATATGCTGTTCGATAAATCGTGCCCTGGAAGTCACACTTTTTGCATTCCTTTCGAGGCGCACTCCGCGGTTACGCAGGTGGCAGGGAAGACGCCCGGGCCCTTTGTGACTGGGTGGCTAGGGGCCGGGCGGTCCGCCGACTGTTCATGACAGCTAATCAGAGCTCAGAGCCACAGAGCTGCACCAATCAGAGATTACCGGAGCCTGAACAAGGGCCAATTGGGGGCTCCAGAACAGGGTGAGAGGCGGACCGCGATCAATCAGAGGGGAGCAATGGATCGCCGATGCCCAATGAGCGGCCTTCAGACCTCGGTCGCGGGCGGTGCTGGCGAGAGTCCCGCTGGCCGGCCAATCAGCGGGCGAGCGGCGGCCGGCGGGCGCGGGCTGGGGGGCGCCTGGGGGCGGGGCCTGTCCGCGCGGCCGGACGGTGGGCGCTGCGAAGAGCAAGTGGGGTAAGGAGGGCTGATGACCCGGGTCCCGGGTGGGGCTGGGCGCGCGGGGGTCTGGGCGGGGGCGCGCGGGGCAGGGGCGGGGCCACGGGGTGCCGCCTGGCCGACCCTCCGAGTTGCGTGATGCGGAAGGGAGAGGTGAGGGGCTGAGTCCAGGTCTAGGGAGGTGGCCTGCTCCGGCCGGAGGGCTGGGGGAGGAGGGGACACTGTTGTCATGGCGACGCAGGTGCGCAGACGTGCGACCCTTTTCAGCCCCGGATCGTGCGCACATCTTAATCCTCCTGCGTCTACCTCGCCCCAAGCTGCCTCCATCCTCCCTGCGACCAGCGCAGAAATAACCCTCGTTGGCAGCCGACTCTGCGCCGCCACAGCGTGGCTCCCCGGCCCCCTCTCCCTCGTGCGGTCTCGTCGCCGGCAGAGGGATTAAGCTCACCCGGCGGCACTTGGTACAACAGGCCTTCGCGATTTGGCCACCTGGACCAGTTCGCGGAGTGGCCACAGCTGGGGTCCCGCGCGGCCGCCTCGTTTCTGGGGACTGGCACCGTAGAGATGCCGCCGCCTGAGGGACCTGGGGGATCCCCCAGAGGGATTTTTTTAAAGGCATCCAATGTAGAGACTTGTGCATAACATGTACTTAGAGAATGGGGTCTGACTGGATAAATCAATATCACAACGACAGCTCTATTCCGTGGACCATCTTTATCCAGTAGAAATAGGCAGCGATCCACATACTGTGTAATTTTACATGTTTTAGTAAGCACATTTAAAAAATAAACCAGTTGAATTAATTTTTATATCTTTTATTTACCCAATATATCCAAAATATCAATATTAAGTATAATCCGTATTAAGTTAATATTATTAATTGACTTAATTGATATTAAATTATTGGTAAGCTATCTTAAATTCTTTTTTTTTTTTCCATACAAAGCCTTCAAAATCTGGGTCATGTCTTACATTCACAGCACATCTCAGTTTGGACCAGCCACATCTGAAGTACTCAGTGGCCCCATTTGTCCGATGGCTACTGTATGAGACTACACAACCATAACCATTTCTTATAGGTGTGTGTTGTTGCCAAATACATGAAACTCATCAGTGTTCTTTGAAGCCCTCTTGTTACAAGGAGGCAACAAAAAACATGAGGCAGGGGCTTTTTTTCTCAAGGAGCTACCAGTCAAGTTGAGAAAATAGACACTCAAAAATTAAGCGGAATTTTAAATGGATATGATTCAGGCAGTAGTAAAGACGCGAGTATATGATTAGTGACAAATGAGATGGCTGATAATTACCCTTAGGAATTCTAGGGAGTGATACTTCGGGCTCCTGCAGTAGCGGAAGACTTGAGTCTCATCTTGAAAGGTGGGTAAGAAGGCTTGGGCTGCTGCACAGATGGGGAGGGGGTTTTGGTTGACTGGAACTGATCACAGCTTCTCTTGTTTTTAGAGTTGAGCATTTGCAGAGGCTGTCGGACGGAAAAAGACTTTCCTCTCTCACTGACAGCCTCCACCATGATTCACAGCCTTTTCTTGATCAACTCCTCTGGAGATATTTTCCTGGAGAAACACTGGAAGAGTGTGGTCAGCCGTTCTGTTTGCGATTACTTTTTCGAGGCACAAGAGCGAGCAACTGAGGCTGAAAATGTTCCTCCAGTTATCTCCACCCCTCACCACTATCTCCTAAGTGTTTACCGTCACAAGATCTTTTTTGTGGCTGTGATCCAGACGGAGGTGCCACCTCTGTTTGTCATTGAGTTCCTTCACCGAGTAGTGGACACATTTCAGGTGCGTGAATGTGAGGAAGTTCATCCATGTACCTTACAAAGTGTCTTTATAGTTCTGTTTCCATGGTTTTCAGCCTCAGTGAAGGAACTTAAAAAAGAAATTAAAACTCTGACATTGCTCACTTCCTCTCCCATCTGGTAAGACACTTGTTTCTATTTATTGAATGGGCTGCATCTAGAATGACAGGTTGTATACTTTTGAACCCATTGCCTGGGAAAGCCACCCTACTTGGTATGATGGTATACAGTCATTTCAGTTCTAGAGATTGGAATTATCCTACATTTTGTTCACAAAGCTGAGGAGTTTCGATTTTTTATTTATGGTAGACTTGATGTTAACCATCGTTAACGACATTGCTTTGAGTTGCATCAAAAAGTGATTCACTCACTCTGGCAGGGGTAACTTGGGAACCCATCCTTCAGCTTGAATTTGGGGTGCTCATCCACAGCATATGAGTACCAGTGACGGGCTGTTTTTTGCAAACTTAACATTGGAAAATCTTCTGTACCTGTAAAAACTTAAGTGACACATTTTCCAAGAGACAGTTTTCATTTCGAGTTTTTCCTTCAGGAATAGATTTGGAGATCTTGGGGCGTGGGGAGGTATGTCATACCAGGATGTCAACACCCTTTATGGCACAGGATTTTAGGCTTCCCAGACTCTGGATTCAGACATTTTCTCCCTAAAAGGATTGCTCAACTTCTGACGGTTGTGGTTGTTTGCATAACTCAACGATCCATGAGAATCAAGGGCCCTTTGGGTTAACTTCTGTGTCACGTGAGGCCTGCAGTTGGTCACATGAATACAGAAATTGTGGGATTGGAGAAGAAGAGAACAAGGACCCAGACCTTAGGATAAAAATAAAAAAGCAAGTCTAAGAGTCCTTTCATTTGCCCTCAGATATAGATCACATGTTTAGAACAGTTTCATCCCCAAAGAATATACATATATTTATATTTTTTTCCCCACATTCTTTTCTGGTAGTTCTATTCCGGGATTCCAGTGGCATACTTGTTCCATCACACAGTGAAAACCTGAGAATGATAAACCCCAGTACGTGGAAGAACTAGAAGAGCCCAGCAGTTTTGATCTTCAGCCGCTTGAGCTGGGCCTTGTTAGAATTTCCACAGGGATGCTTTCCGCCGTTAACAGTCCGCTCCCTATCTCCATAGTGATATGATGTAACTTATTACAAGGCAGAAAGTGAGAAATGTTGTTTAATCTAGTTGAAACCACAGAGGAATTGGGGAAAACCTCAAAGTGGCTACTTTGGGAGGCTGGGACTTCAGAGCTTGACATTTTGGAAGCATTTGTTAAAAGTAAATGGCCGCATCCTGATTTTAATGTCTCATCTGATGTGTGTTCTCTGGCTGCGCTCTTCCTCTCATAGCGGAAGGAGCTCCCGCTATGGAAGTGACGCACTTTGCTGTGGCGCTGTGCCGTGCTCACCAGTCTCCTTCCAGTTGATGATTGAGAAAATCACATTCTGCCTGATTAGAAAATCGAGGGAGGTGTTTTTTAAAGTTTATTTTATTGAAGTATAGTTGTTTTACAATGTTGTGGTAATTTCTGCTGTACAGCAAAGTGATTTGGTCATACACACACACACACACACACACACACACACACACACACACACACATATACATTTTTTCTTATTCTTGTCCATTATGTTTTATCACAGGATAGTGAATATAGTTCCCTGTGCTATACAGTATGACCTTGTAGTCCATCTATTCTCTATATAAGGGTTTGCATCTGCTAACCCCAAACTCCCAGTCCATCCCTCCCCCACTTTCCCTCCCCCTTGGCAAGCACAAGTCCGTTCTCTATGTCTGTGAGTCTGTTTCTCTTTCATAGATAAGTTCCTTTGTGTCATATTTTAGATTCCACATGTAAGTGATATCATATGGTATTTGTCTTTCTCAGTCTGACTTACTTCACTTAGTACAATGATCTCTAGGTCCATCCATGTTGCTGCAAATGGCATTATTTCATTCTTTTTTATGGCTGAGTAGTATTCCATTGTATGTATATATACCACATCTTCTTTAACCATTTATACGTCAGTGGACACTTAGATTGCTGCATGTCTTAGCTGTTGTGAATAGTGCTGCTCTGAACATAGGGGTGCATTTACCTTTTTGAATTATAGTTTTGTCTGGACATATGCCCAGGGGGAGATTGCTGGACCATATGATAGCTCTATTTTTAGCTTTTATGGCCCCTCTGTACTGTTCCATAGTGGCTGCACCAGTTTACATTCCCACTGACAATGTAGGAGGGTTCCCTTTTCTTGAGTGAGGTGTTTTATTTATTTTTCAAAATAAAATCATTCTTGAGAAGGAAATGTATAACTTTCCCCCCCGCTTCAATCCTCATTTTTTTAAAGAAGAAATCTTTTTGTTTTAGAAACACATTCCTGACTCCTAAGTGCTCTTGGATATTGGAATGTCTCTGATAGTTGACGTCATCTGATGTAATTTAGGTCATATCTGGAGTCTGTGTTCCGTTTTGGATGTCATAATTTGAGGAGACTGTTGGAAAACTAGAGCAAATTCAAAAGAAATGGCAAGACAGTGAAAGAATCTAGAAACCTTACTGTAGCATGAACAGTGGGAGGACCAAATGGAGTTTGGCCCTTTGAAGAAAAATGCAAGTCAAAGCTAGATCACTAGATCACTATGGGGCTGTTATGTAAACCTGTTCTGTAAGGCAGACCTAGGAAGCAAATTTCAGTTTAGCAAAAGAAGGAACTTTCTAACAGTCAGTGCCGCCCGTGAATAAAATGAGCTTTCTCAAAAGGGGTGAATTTCCCTCAGTGGATGAATCCCTAGAGGGCTGTCTGAGAGGCCCAGCAGCAGATGTGCTGGCATTGCCAGGAGGGGCACGCCAAGAGGCTACAGCATTTCTCTCTGCATCATTTCATTGCCACGCACCACGGATTACATGGTGCTTTGTAGTTTACAAAGCATATTCATACATGTTCTCAGTTCATCCATCAGGCTGAGTTTTTACAACCCTGTGCAGCCCATGGTATTATCCTGATTATACTATGAGAGAAATCAAGACCCAGATTAGTCAGCAGGACTTAATCTAGTAGGTGACAATTAAGATTACTACCCAGGCCTTCTGATTTGGAATCCAGTGCTTTTTCCACAACCCAGACAATTTAGTATCTAAGTTTAACCTTTGTTAATAAAAGGACAAAGTGTTATTAGAATCCTAGCATCTTAGAGTAAGGGGATCCAAAGAGATTTTCAGGTGTGCTAGCTCACCCCCTCATTTCATTTTGTTTCTCTCTCAATTCTTATTTGCTGCATGAATGTTAAGGAATAGCACAACAGTAAGGGTTAAAAAGATTTTCAGGTCCAATGTATGTCATATCAGGTATTATCACTTTGCATAGTTCTTTCAAATTCATGTTCATAAACACATATAATAGTCTAGATTCAGTTTTGTATTCTTCATATTTTATTAGTTGAAGAAACTAACCCAAAGAGATTAAATGACTTACTTTAGTTTATGAGAGAAGTTATTAATGACACTTGTAGTACAATCCAGTCTGGTGTTCTTTCCACCAAACTGGGCCTGCCTAAGAGAACCATGGTTATGCTTCATTCACTTATTTTAGAAGATCCCAGAAACACAGAGTAAACACGTGTGGACAGGACTTGATCCTTGCTCTCTGGGAACATTCCTTCACTCATTACAGTCTCTGAGTGACAAATGTATACACGTATTGTATTTTCATCAGGATTATTTTGGAGTCTGTTCAGAGCCAGTGATAAAAGACAATGTGGTTGTGGTTTATGAGGTATTGGAAGAGATGCTTGACAACGGGTTTCCATTGGCTACCGAGTCGAACATCCTCAAAGAACTGATAAAGCCGCCCACTATCCTTCGAACCGTTGTCAACACCATCACAGGTACGAGGGGGGGCCCAGGGAAGGCTGCCACCATCCTGGGTGTGGCTTAGCCTGCTGTTGTGCATTGTTTTGAGTGCTTGTCTTTGGGGATCTCAAATGTCCAGGTGCTTTAATTTTATTCTTTATAGTCTTTGAATATAACATGAAATATATTTTTGTTATATAGAAAATATTCCGATTTCAATGATAGGATGCACTGTTCTCCTTTAAAAATAATTTGCCTGATTACAGAAGTAGCACATGATTATTGTAGGAATGTCGGAAACACAGAAAAGCACAAAAAACATGAAAATTTCTCATAATCCCACCACACTTTTAACATACAGTGTATATTTGTTATCTTTTCTAGACATCAGGATAATGGATGGACAGGTGGAATTTTTTAAAACAACTGTTGTATATATATATATATATAGTGTGTGTGTGTGTGTGTGTGTGTGTGCGGTACGCGGGCCTCTCACTGCTGTGGCCTCTCCCGTTGCGGAGCACAGGCTCCGGACGCGCAGGCTCAGCGGCCATGGCTCACGGGCCCAGCCGCTCCGCGGCATGTGGGATCTTCCCGGACCGGGGCATGAACCCGTGTCCCCTGCATCGGCAGGCGGACTCTCAACCACTGCGCCACCAGGGAAGCCCTGTTGTATATTTTTAAACTTAACTTTTCATCATTGTTTTGTGAACATGTTCCCATTATGATAAATATTCATCTCCATCATTTTTGGTGACTTTACAATTTTCTGCCATATGGAATAGATCCCAGGTCATTTACTGTGTCCCTGTTTATGATGTCTCTGATTTTTTGTTCTTTTAAATAGCAGGGAGTTGGCATTCTTATGCCTAAATCTTTGTGCACATCTAGAATGATACCTTTTCAGTACTGGGAATGGAAGTGCCGGATCAGAAGGTGTGCGTGGGGGCTTCCCTGATGGCGCAGTGGTTGAGAGTCCACCTGCCGATGCAGAGGACACGGGTTCGTGCCCCAGTCCGGGAAGATCCCACCTGCTGCGGAGCGGCTGGGCGCGTGAGCCATGGCCGCTGAGCCTGCGCATCTGGAGCCTGTGCTCCGCAACAGGAGAGGCCACAACAGTGAGAGGCCTGCGTACCGCAAAAAACAAAAAACAAAACAAAACAAAAAGGTGTGCGTGTCTTAAGGACTTTAATGCATTGTGCCACATAGCCCCCCAGAGAAGTTACATCAGTTTATACTTTCAGTAGCAATTATGCAACCTGGCCAACTCTATTATTATCGTTATTAATTATTTTACAACTTTGGCAATTGGATAGTTTAGTGATATCTTGTTATTTCCAAACTTGTTTTTTATTACTAAGGAAGTTAAAACCTGTTCAAGTGTTCACTGACTGTTTTTCCTCTATTGTGATTTACTTTTTCATGTCCTGTGCCCGTTTTTTTTTTTTGTTATTGTTGAAATGTTTTTCTTTTTTCCTACTAATTGAAAAGTATTCCTTTCATTTAAGGATATTAAACTATCATATATACTCTAAATACACACGCTAGTTTGCAGGAGTCTCTGTGTATTTTGAATGCTCTGTTGTAGATGTTTTCTCACATCCTGCCCCTGGTCATTTAACATTGTTCAAGGTGGTGTTTGGCCACCTTTAAAGTTTTTTGATAGTCAAAATAATCATTCTGCTTCATTAAGGTTTTACATTTTGGGTCTTGCTTAATATATAAACAAGAGTTTTCATGGAATTTGACAAACTGAATGAAAAATACATTTTAAAAAGTAATTACAGAGGGGTTGGAAGAATTTGCCCTGTCAAATATCAAGACATATTTAAGTTCACTTGGTACATTAGACAAAAACTCATAGAATAGATATACTTTAAGAGCCAAGACAGTTTGGGGGGAAAATATTTTTTTAAAAAGAGCAAGAGAAAAATGTGTCCTATCAGAATCAAGATATATTATGAAGTTTAGGTAATTTTTAAAATATAGTATTAGCCCATTAATAGACAAATAGACAATTGGGATAAAATAGAAAGTCCAGAAACAGATCCTTTTATAGGAATTTGGTATAGATAAATGTGCTCATATATCAAATCCGTGGACTGCGGGCCAGTTGTTAAATATATTGTATCAGGGCAGTCAGCTTTGATACAGTAAAGAAATGAAGTTCCCCTACCCACTGTATACACAAAATAAATTTTAGCTGGATCAAGAGTTAAACACAAAGAGACTTTATAATTGTTAGAAGGAAATATTGGAAAATGTCGTTTTGATCTCAAAGAAGGGAAAGTCTTTCTTTTAAAAAAATACATTTTCTTCTAGTTCTTTTATGGTTTTATTTTTAGATTTAATTCTTTAATCCATTTGGAAATTGTCTCAGTAAAGTAAGGCTCTGTGTTTTTTCCTCCAAAACTGTCAGTTTCCCTAGCACTATTTATTGAATACTTTATTTATTGAATACTTTATTGAATACTTTATCCCTTTTCCTCGTTTTTTTTTTAAGTATGCATGCATCCATTTTATTTATTTATTTTTATTTTATTTATTTATTTTTGGCTGTGTTGGGTCTTTGTTGCTGCGTGCAGGCTTTCTCTAGCCGTGGCGAGCAGGGGCTGCTCTTCGTTGTGGTGCACGGGCTTCTCACTGTGGTGGCTTCTCTTGTTCCGGAGCACGGGCTCTAGGTGTGCGTGCTTCAGTAGCTGTGGTGCGTGGGCTCAGTAGTTGTGGCTTGAGGGCTCTAGAGAGCAGACTCAGTAGTTGTGGTCCACAGGCTTAGTTGCTCCATGGCATGTGGGATCTTCCTGGACCAGGGCTGGAACCCGTGTCCCCTGCATTGGCAGGCGGATTCTTAACCACTGTGCCACCAGGGAAGCCCTCCTCGTCTTAAAATGATATTTTTATCTTTCACTAAGTCATTATTGGATTTTTGGTCTGTTTTTAGGCTTTCCTGCCTTATAACCATACTGCTTTAATTATTATAGCTTGTTGATATGTTTTAATACACAGTGCCTCTTTTTAAGAGAACAAATTGTCAGGTTTTTCAATATTCTGGGCTCATTTAAAACTTTAAAAGCTTTGTTAGTGACTGGATCACTTATAAATACTGTGAAGTCATTTTCCTGAATCTCACTTAAATCTAGAAAAGATATCTGAGAACCAGCTATCTTAGTTGAAATGTTTTGTGAAGCTGCTGACTATATGTGTGTTTAATGTTTCCTTCTTTATATTAAAAAAGATCCAGGTTACATTACAAGAAAATAGATTTTAAATTAGTTCTATTTCAGAATTTCAGTATAGAACCTTTGAATTAAAAAAAAAATTGATACCTGTGGGGGAAAAAAGCAAATCAAGGAATCAACTTACAATTCTTACAGACAGGGAACGATCTGATTTATATTCTTTTCCTAAGTTCCAGTATTGGTATAAGAGAGATTATGTTTATGTATACATTTTAATACCTGGCATAAATGTATCTAAAAACCTGCTTCAAACTAGAATACTGTTTTTACCCATGAAAATTTTATATCAGTATGTAGATTACCATCCCTATCGAAAGCCAATGCATTATTTAAGCTGCAAGTATTGTGCAATTTGAGAGACCAAGTTCAGGTTACTTTCAAAACAAAAATATGATATCTGTTTCTCAGGTAGCTTGTTAACCTTTATTCTGCTTGAGGAGGCAGACCAGCTGGTGACAAGTTTTTAAAATAGATTAGGTTACCAAGATAGAAGTTGGGAAAGCTATAATCTTTTTCTTGGAAAAATTCTTCAATTAAGTGCATGGATAGCAGTTGTATAGAAACTTTTGGGGAAGTGTTCTCTGGTTGTTGGATAATTGGTTACATCTAATTATAAAATATTCATTGTCTCAGGAAGCACCAATGTGGGTGACCAGCTTCCCACCGGGCAGCTGTCCGTGGTGCCTTGGCGACGGACTGGGGTGAAATACACCAACAATGAGGCCTATTTTGATGTGATTGAAGAGATTGATGCCATCATTGATAAATCAGGTAAGTGCTTTCAGCCTGTTCACAGAACTATGAAAATAGAAAGAGGCCCCTTTTAGATAGTGCTAGCTAGTACCAGAATTACCCCCCATTCAAGGTCATTCATTTTAACTTAGTGGCTACTTTGTGTCAAGCATTGTGTATTAGGACTGGACTGAAGTGTTAGGATGTAGGTGACATGATCATACATGTAGAAACTTCTAAAGACTCCAGCCAAACACTGTTAGAACTAATAAATTCAATAAAGTTGCAGGATACGAAATCAACATGCAAAAATCAGTGGTGTTTCTATACACAAACAATGAACTATCCAAAAAGGGAACTAAGAAAACAATCCCACTTACAATAACAACAAAAAGAATAAAATACTTAGGAATAAACTTAACTGAAGAGACTTATACACTGAAAATTACAAAGCACTGATCAAGGAAATTGAAGAAGAGCAGATAAATGGAAAGACATGGTTTGTTCATGGACTGGAAGAATTAATATTGTTAAAATGTTCGTAATACCCAAAGCAGTCTATCCCCATCAAAATCCCAAATGCTATCCACATAAATATCTCAATGGCATTCTTTTTAGAAATAGAAAAAACAATCCTAAAATTCATATGGAACCACGAAAGACCTCAAATAGCCAGAGCAGTCTTGAGCAAGAACAAAGCTGGAAGCTTCACAATTCTGTATTTCAAAATATATTACAAAACTACAGAAATCAAAATGTATGGTAGTGTCATAAAAACAGACATGTATCCCAGTGAAACAGCATAGAAAGCTCAGCAATAAATCCATGTGTTTACATCCAGCTGGACTTCAACAAGAGTGCCAAGAACATGCAATGGGGAAAGGCTAGTCTCTGCAGTAAGTGGTGTTGGGAAAACTGGATATTCACATGTAGAAGAATAAAATTACCCTTATCTCACACCACATACAAAATGGATACAAGACCTAAACATAAGATCTGGAACCATAAAACTACTAGCAGAAAACATAGGGAAGAAGCTTCTTCAGACTGGTCTGGGCAGTGATTTTTTTGGATATGACACTAAAAGCAAAGGCAGCAAAAGGAAAAATAGATAGATGGGATTGCATCAAGCTAAAAAGCTTCTGTACAACAAAGGAACCAATCAACAGAGTGGAAAAGACAACCTACAAATGAGAGAAAATATCTGAAAACCATGTTTCTGACAAGGGGTTAATATCCAGAATACACGAGGAACTCATACAATTTAATAGCAAAAAAATCCAGATAATCTGACAAAAAAGTGGGCTCAAAGGATCTGAAGAGACGTATTTCAAAAAAAGACATACAAATGACCAACAGGCATATGAAAATGTGTTCAGTGTCACCAGCCATCAGGGAAAAGCAAGTCAAAACCACAGTGAGATACCACCTCACACCTCACATCAAAAAGACAAAAGATGACACGTGTTGACAATGATGTGGAGAAAAGGGAACCCTGTACACTGCTGGGGGGGATGTAAGTTGGTGCAGCCACTATGGAAACAGTATGGAGGTGCCTCAAAAAATTAAAACTCCCTTATGATCCAGCAATCCCACTTCTGGGTATATATCCAAAGGAAGTGAAATTAGTGTCTCAAGGAGATAATCTGCACCCCCGTGTTCATTGCAGCATTATTCACAATAGGCAAGATATGGAAACAAGCTAAGTGTCCGTTGATGGATGAACGGATAAAGAAGATGTGAGATAGACTCACACGGAGGAATATTATTCAGCCATAAAATGAAGGAAATCCTGCCATTTGTGACAACATGGATGAACCTGGGGGACATGATGCTAAGTGAAATAAGCCAGACACAGAAAGGCAAATATCGCCTGATCTCACTTATATGTGGAATCTGCAATAGTCAACCTCATGGAAGCAGAGAGTAGAAGGGTGGTTACCAGGGACTGGGGGAGAGGGAAGTGGGGAGATGTTGGTGAAAGGGTACAAAGTTTCACTTACACAAGATGAAAAAGTTCTGGAGATTTAATATATGGCACAGTGACTACAGTTGTGTACTTTTTTTTTCAGTGTTATTGAGGTGTAATTGACAAAACTGTAAGATACTTAGCATGTATATTATGGTGATTTGATATATGCATATACACTGTGAAAGGATTTCCTTCATCACCTCGCACGTGTACCCTCTACTTGAAATTTGCTAGGAGTGCAGGGCCTAAGGGCCCTCACCACCAAGAAAACCCAACTAACTAAGGTGATGGATATGTTAATGAGCTTCATTGTGGTGGTCACTTCACAGGGTATATGTGTATCAAAACAACAAGTCGTACACCTTAAATATATACACTTTTTATTTGTTGATTATACCTCAACAAAGTTGAAAGAAAAGCAATAAGAAAAACATGATGCAGACCAGTGCTGAGCTTACACTTTCACTGGTTTTATCCTCTCAAGTGAAAAAGAAAAGTAACAACCTGATCTCCTGTTGATCATATTTCCTTTTGGAAGTATTTGACTCTCAATTCTCATGGCAGAACTAAAGTTGTAATCACTAAAATTCAGAGAACCTTCTTTTCTATCCATTGGGATAGGTTAATGTGACCACAAGTCCTTGGAGCTTAGAAATTTAGAGAAAATTCTCTTCACAAGAGTGAACTCAGTCATCCAGAAAGTGTTTACGGAGAACCAGTGGTGCTGTACCTGAGTGCCGGATCATGAGCATGTGATGGTGATTAAGACAGGGTCTGTGGCTGCAGGAAGCTTCCTGAAAGTCTAGTAAGGGAGAGAGAAAGGAAAAAGATGGAGCATAAGAGAGGTCCCCTCCCACCCAGGGCAAATTATAAAGCTAACTAACGCTTTGTCGAGAATGAGTAGGAGTTAGTAAGACCTACGTGGATTTGGGAGCAAAGCAGTGCAAATACTATAAGATGAGTAAAATATTGTTGGGAAATAAAGTAGCTCAGTGTGATTGGATTGAGAGGTGTTAAAAAAAAAGGAAAAGTAAGTGATGAGGCTTTAAAACAAAGTAGGCACAGCAGCTTTTCATATTAGCCCCAAACTGGAAAGGACCCAAATGTCCATCAGTAATACAAAGGATAAAGAAATTTTGATATGATCACACCATGGAATACTCTACAGTAAAGAAAAAGAGCTGCAGGTACACCTGACAGCATGAATGAACCTCACAGTATTGAGCAGCAGAGTCAGATGCCTAAGATCATATACATTTATATGACGTTTGAAAACATGTGCAACTTAATCTAAGGTAATAAAAGTCAGAATTTTAGGGACTCAGGTGAACTGGGATGGACAACAGGAGCATGCTGGGATGCTGGTGAGGGTCCGCATCTTGACGCGGGTGGTATCTGCATAGGTGTGAACATATTTAAAAATTCATTGGGCTGGACATTTAAGATGTTTGCATTTTACTCCAAGTTTGATCTCAATGAAAAAGTAAAAAAACCAAACCCAGAAAGCTCTAGGTGGCCAGATGGTGAAGAATCGTGTATGCCATTTTAAGGAGGACCCTTTGGAGCAATTGAAGAGTTTTAAGCTGGGAATAATTTGACAAGGTTTGTCGTTGAGAACCGTCCAACTGGCTGCTGCGTGCAGCATGGCATGGAGTTGGGGGGAGTCTCGGGGCAGGGAGGCGGGAGCCTGTGGTGGAGTCCAGGCAAAGGTACAGGTTCCGTGATGGTAGTGAGGATGGAGAGGAGTGGAGGAGTCACGGGAAGAGGGGATGGAGCATTGGTGGGATATGGACGCCAAGGGGGCGGAAGTCATCAAGGACACATCCGTGTTTCTGGCTTAGGCAACAGGATAGATGGTTTTATCATGAAGCTAAGGAAAAGAGAAATTGCAGATCCAGGAATGAACGTAAGGGACTCACTTTTTGACACGTGGAGTTTGAAGTGCCTCAGTCACGTCCAAGTGGAGCAGTCCCGTTGACAGGAGTGAGGCTGAACTGGAAAAAAGGATTAGGAAATAATTGGCCATCAGTGGAAATCGAAGCCTTACTTTACTTGGGTAAAGTAACCCAAGGAGACCGTGTCAGGTTCAAGAAAAGAGAAGTTCAGAGCTGTGATAAGATGTAGACACGTAAAGGATGTGTCCAAAGAAGGAGCAACTTGCAGAAGGCACGAGAGAGAAGAGCTAGAAAAGCAGGAAACAGGAGCGCTTAGGAGAGAGGAACACTTGAAAGAAGGAAGTGGGCACAGGGCCCTGCAGCAGGGAGAGCCTGCAGGGTGAAGACCAAAAGTGTCCATTCCATTTGGTGGCAGAGCTCCTTGGTGCCCTTAGGGAGAGCAGTTTCTGATATGAATTTAGTGTTCTGAGCCATTGGTTAAGATAGCGGTGTTCTGTTTGATTCTGGCACTAGATTGAAAACTCCTTTAGGCTAGTAACTATCTCACCAATCTTTTATCCCCACTGCTTCATTAGTGTCTTGCGCTTGTTATGCAGTCGATAAAGGTTTAGAAGGAGGACAGATGGACTGGGTAGATGATTTGGATGGATGGATGGATGGATGGATGGACAGAAGGAAGGAAGAAAGAACGGGGGAGGGGAGGAAGAAGGAAGGAAGGAAATAGGATGGGAGAACAAAGAGAAGGTTAAAGAAGGAGAGAGGAAGGAGGGATGTTAGTTGGGAGGGACAGAGAAGGGTTTTACCTTCTTTCCATCTTGCTCTGTCTCAGGGTCCACAGTCACTGCCGAGATCCAGGGGGTTATTGATGCCTGCGTCAAGCTGACCGGAATGCCCGACCTTACGCTTTCCTTCGTGGTAAAATCCTGGGCCAGAGATTTAGTTTTTGGGAAATTAGATGCTTGTGGAATGACAAAGTGGTGGGAAGGGGATGGAACCAGAAGAAGTGATCAAGGACAACCACAAAGCTCCTGTTGGGCTTGAATTTTCTAAAAGTAACGACAGAATCTGTGTGTGTGTGTGTGTTTCAGTGAGAACAGCATCTGAGTTACTTTCCCGAAAGAAGCATGGTGTTTAATTCCTGCTTGTTGCTTTCCCTTGCCTGTCACCCAGAACCCCAGGCTGCTGGATGATGTCAGCTTCCACCCCTGCGTCCGCTTCAAGCGCTGGGAGTCCGAGCGCATGCTCTCCTTCATCCCTCCCGACGGCAACTTCCACCTGCTCTCGTACCACGTCAGTGCACAGAAGTAAGCAGCCATCGAACCAAAGGGTGGAGTGTGCGTGTGCGTGCATGTGCATGTGTGTTTGGAAACAGTATCCATGGTGATGAAGAACTCAGGCTCTGGAGTTACCTGGGCTCCAGGTAACTAATTGGGTAACCTCAGGTGAGTTGCTTATCCTTTCCGTGTCTGTTTTCTTAACTAAGAAAGTTGAAGTAATAAATAATGAAGTAATAAGTAAGTTGAAAATAATAAAAGTACCTGTTATTTGGGTTAAATAAGGGACTCTAAATAGTGCTTCACACAAAGTAAGTGCTCGTTAGGTTTACTGCTGTAAGTTTTATTGTCGTTATTATATGCCTAAACGGGAACTTTTTCTTTTCTCAGATTGGAATCTGAGAACACCTGTATTCAATCCCTTCCTGTCAAAAAAGCCATGAATGGTGCTATGAAAAAACATAAAATTCAGTGATTTTTTGGTCTTGCACATTCTGTTTACTATGGAGTCTGAGGGCTTTTAGGGGAAGGTGTATAGTAGAAGGTATGCAGACTGAAGAGAGCTGTGGAACCTCACAGCCACTGAAGCCTTCCTGTGGGATTCGGAATAAATAATGTAGGGAA